TTTTTTGATATGATGATGTTTGCTTGGGTTGATGAATATGTTGATGTTGAATAGATCATGAGTAGCTAAATTCATATGCTAGGGAATAGAAGATTGATGTTTTGAATTCGTTTGCGATTATCATGTTCGTGATTGTTCAATTTGTACGAGTTAAGCTTTTTTTAGGGTTTTCAATCTTTGTCATGGGTTTCGAGAATTGTTGAAGGGCGACACTTCAACGTCAAATTGTTTCAATTGAATTCGATAAATTTGTGCATGTTGTTGAAAATTCTAAACGGATTAGTGGATTAACTACCTTCTAGTCTTCTTTAATCAACTCTTAGAACTGAAAGGGGAGGAGTCGGTCGAAATAGACTCGTATAAACTAGGCTTGTTCGTAATTGTATTGCCTAGGTGTTAAATGACTTGTTAACTTGTCGTTTAAGTTTGTTCTCTTGTTACGAAAAGTTATTGAGAATGAGTGCTTGAACGTGCCGGTTATTCAAATCACTTAACCGAACAATCTCTAGCTTGATAATTACAATATAGAACCAAAGCGGATATCCCTGACTCCCTAGCTCCTTAAATCTTAATCGTTCTTCGTCTTTGCTTGCTATTTTATTGCTTTATTTAAGTCTTCGTAGTAATGATAATTGAAACAAATCAAATCACTTGAATTAGAATGTTTAGGAATTTTACCTCTTTTATTTTCCCTTTTGTGTTAGAGTAAGCGTACAAGATATTCCGGCTAGCCTTCCTCGAGAGACACGACCCGGTGTCGAATCTTTCGATTCTACTCCGGTAAAAATATTTACAACAAATTAGCGCCGTTGCCGGGGATGTACCCAAATGGTGGACCAGCTCGATGGGATAATGGATCACATTCAATCCGTTAAGCCACGAGTCGATGAGACCTCGAGCACTAACTATCGGATTTACGAGGGCGAGACGGAAGAAGAGAAGGATGTACTCCCAGCAGATGAGGGAGATATTCTGATGGAGGTAACTTCTGAGCCCACATTCGAGAGTCCCTCATTTGAGCCGTCATGCCCCATTGAGAAGGCCCCAATGGTCCTGCTATGCTCCACAGATGTTCTCATCCTTCCATGGGTTAACAATGGAGTTCGGTGAAGAGTGCTCTAGGCCACTTTGTTACCCCACCTTGCTCTCATGCCCAGTTCCAGAAGAATATTACTACCCGAGCCATCCGTGTCTGCCTTCTGGCCTTAGTACCAGCACTGCCACTTCTCGAGAATACAAAGGCGTGGCACGATCGTCACTTCTTTTTGGACCTCGGATGAGTTTCTTTTCAGGTTTCGTCAAGCTAATGACGTAAAACAAGCACTTCTTGGGAGGCAACCCAAGTGATATTTATTGCTTTCTTGTTCATTTTCTCTTATGCTTTTTCTTTTATCTTTGAATAATGGGAGGTTTGGAGTTTGTGTGGTTTTCTCGACAGGTACTATTTGCGAGCTTGAGCAGGAGGAATAACGAGGGCCGAGGCTGAGCATAGGCGAGTGAATTGCACATGCATGCTATTTCTCCTCGAGGCATCTTTGGTTTGCACACACTTTTCT